GAGAGGGGAGCTGAAAACTCATTTGCCGACGAGGAGGAATGTGACTAAATGTGCATACAGATATGCTGCTGATGAACAGATGTGCTGACTTCTATCAAATCCAAGAATATTAGACAACCAAACACGAAATTTTCTTGTGTCTTCCCTTCATACTCAGCAGCCAATATGTTGGTTAAGTCTGGGAAGAAAGGGGAAGAAAAGATGAAAAGATGTCTTAAAACGAAGAAAAAAATCCTGTGGAGTAAACAAACACATTTTCAACCAATGAATTTTTTTTCTTCCAGGGAGTTTCCCTTGCATTGCTCAGAGGCAGTTACAGTAGGATCCCACCCCTGCTCCGGATGGGTGATGCTGAAAAACACAGATTAAAGCAAACACGATAAATAGCATGCTCACTGGAAGGACAGATCCTGAAGCTGAGGCTCCAAGACTTTGGCCATCTCATGAGAAGGGAAGACTCCCTGGAAAAGACCCTGATGTTGGGAAAGTGTGAGGGCAAGAGGAGAAGGGGACGACAGAGATGGTTGGACAGGGTCATTGAAGCGACCAACATGAATTTGACCCAATTCCGGGAGGCAGTGGAAGACAGGAGGGCCTGGTGTGCTCTGGTCCATGGGGGTCACAAAGAGTCGGACACGAGTTAACTAAACAGCAACAACATACATAGCATGGTCTCTGTCTCTCTCTATTGGCCAGTTTGGATAACTTCATCTTTAGAAGTATCTATTTCTAGGATTTTTCTTTTATTATTTTTAATATTTTCAGACTGTGGATAAGGAAATCAGCGGCTCCTGATCCCGCAGATACGGGGTCCCATTGCAACTTGATTCCTTAAGCATTATTATTTTTCATCAGGAACATTTTAGTAGCGTGGGAAGATGGGAGAAGAGCCATCAAATAGGATCTGCCTACTTACGATTAAGAACGATGGGCAAAACCTGGATATGGGTTCTTACGTTAACTTGCCTTTTAAGGTGTTTTCAAACAGCTTGCTTATACATGTTTAATTCTTTTTCAAAGTAATAATTTATTGTGCTTTAATTTTTTTTTTTAAAAACACCACCATTTATGAGCCACCCCGGGTCTAGTAATTAGGAGAGTGGTAGCATAGAAGTAAAATAAGTAAATAAAAGAGAATTATATTTACACTCACATGAAAGAGAAATACGCCCCACTTGAAATACACATTGTACAGAAAGGTTTGCATTTCTGAAGGTTTGTATTTCTAAACCCTTCTGGCCCTCAAAGGAGTGCAGGAAACGGAGGAGGGTATTTCTCCCCGAGTATGCTCTCGCCTCTTCAGTTTTTATTTCTTTTATTTGGGGTCCTGTTTTCCTTCCAGCAAGCTCGAGAAAACATAAGTGGCTCTTCCTACTTTTTCCTTCACCTCAGTCTTGTGAGGTAGGCCAGGCCAAGAGGCACAGACCAAGCTGACCGGGTGAATTTGACCAACTTTGGATCTCGCAGACCAAGCTTGACCCCTGAACGCGCAGGCACCCTGGCGCTCCTGCGTGAACACCAGAAACCATCCTTTATGATCCCTGCAGAGACTGACCTGTCCCTCCCTAGATAAATGGGATTCTAACCTCAGAAAGTCTTACCCCTTCACTAGTTTTCTGCAAATCTGAAGAAGTGTTCCTCGTGTCATTGCCGGCCTCCCCAGCATCAGAACTGCTCTTGTTTTCTTCCTCTTTGCAGTCTTTGTCATCTTCATCTCCGGGAGATTTCCGTGACTGCTTGGAAGATTTCTAAGGAGATCCATCGAGGAAAGAGAGTAAAAACAAAGAATGCGTATTTTAAAAGGAGACTTAAAGAATCCCACGAGACCACGAGCGCTGATTCTGACATCGCCATGCGACTACCCCCATCTGACTTAGGGGGAATCGTCACAGGACGTTCAAAGAAGGTGGGATGTTCTAGGGAGCAGCTTTATCATTGCCGCGCATGCGCACCTCAGTGCGTGTCCGTGGCTCCGCAGGGGTTGGAAATCCAGATTTCGAGTCCTACTTGGATACCCTATCAGACAGGACATCGAAGTAGTTTTATAAATAAATCAGCAACTGGTTAAGAGGCTATAATTCCACCTCTCGGGTCTAAAGCCTCTGTGATGGCTTATGGGGCTAAAGAAGTTTCATGCTTTGGGGTTTAGCACTGGTGAAATGAGCAGTTGATCCAATTTCTGGGGGGCAAAGAATTACAGCATGGAGTTGGAAGGGGCCTAGAAGGCCATCAAGTCCAACGCCCTGCTCAATGCAGGAATCCAAATGAAAAACCGATCTGACGAGAGATGGCTGTCTAGCTTTCTCTTGAAGGCCTCCAGCGTTGGAGCATTCGCTACTTCCTGAGGTCCTGGGTTCTGTTGTCGTACTGCTCTAACAGTTAAGAAGCTTTTCCTGAGCATCAGTATCTGTCCAACCCTCACGGATCTGGTTGCAGATGGTCCTTAAAACAACAAGATGTTAAATGCCAGCAGCGGAGAAGCTCATCAATTACCTTTGAAGTGTAGGATTTTTTCCGCTTTGAGCCCGCTTTTTCGTTCTTCCTTTTCCCCTTTCCATCCTCTTCTACCCGCTCGCCTTCCTCCTCGCTGCTGGCATCTGCCGTGTTCCCTCCTTCTCCCTCAGTTTCTGACGAGCTCTGTTGCTGAATTGCCTTTGGGAAAAAACCACACACAAGTCACACACACATTGTACAATGCTAGTGTGGCGCCCCTACGGTTTCAACGTGGGCTCAATTGACTGTACAGCTTTTTGGAAAGAGTCAGCTGAGAGGTGATACGATACCATGGCCAACGTCCAATTCCTCAAAGAGTTATCTCACGTCACACTAGAGTTCTCAACTTTAAGTTTTCCATTTCAGCTCCCAGAATCCATCATTGATAGCCAAGCCGGCTGGGGGCTTCTAGGGGCTTTAGTCCAAAACATCTGGACTGCAGCAGATGTTTGAGAAGAAGCTACAGGACGAAGCACAAGTCTCTCCTGCTGCTCCAGAGGGTAGGGCTTGAACAAAGGCATTTCAAAGGACAAGAAAGGAGATTCTGACTCAACATTAGGAAGAACTGGAATCCTGGGTTGCTCTCGCCACTAGAGGGAGGTGGTAGCACCTGAAATGTGATTGGTCTTTAGCTCCTGTCTATCAAGGTGAATGGGAAGGGCAAACCCCTTGCAAAGACTCCCTTCTTCCCCCTATAGGAAAAGCATGCACTGGAAGAGGTGGATATCCTTGAGGTCTCTTCCTACTGTTTAAGTTTACAGCCAGGATCCTGTGGAGTCTCTGATAACAAGAAAACTCTGCCTGTATAGCAACGTAGTGTAAGCAGTGATCTCTACGAGAAAAACCTTCGCTAGGAAAAAGGGTGACACTTCCAATATTGTCTTTTGACTGCTGTAACTTGCTTTTTGAAGGAGAAAGGAGGAGTAAAAATAGTTTGAATAAATAAATAACAGTAACAGACCCTAGCAGAATGGTTAGAATCGCACATTACTCTCTTGCTGAGATGCTGCTATGCTCAACCCAGCTGTCCATTTTGGGAAGAAAGGCACATCCATCTCTCAGAGATTCATCTCTGTCTCCCCAAAACAGCCGCACAGCCATGCCGGCGAAAGCCAGACAGAGGACACGGCTCAGCTTCTGGATTTTTCACATCCATCCTTGTGGAATTTGCGCACAACAGCTGAACACCCGGGAGCAGAAGATGGCGCTGCCACCATGTGACCCAGCCCGCTCATTCTGGATCCCTCGGACCATCACCTGGCCTACCGCTGGGTAAATTAACCCCGCAAAAGACAGAAATGACACCAGGAGGTTTTTAAAAAATGAAGCCGCCCTTACCTGGTATCCAGTAAACTTGACACCGGGGTTGTTTTCGATTTCCCACAAGCCTTCATTAAATCCTTTTCGTTTGTTCGATTTCCCAAACTTGTCTTTATATTCTTTGTACGGGAAGAGATCTTTCGGCCCCAAAAATGCGCTGCGTTTTAACAAAGGAGGCAATCAAACAAGAGGGCTATTCACCTTCCCTTAACGGATTATAGAAATTTGCTGCTTCGTTCAGCAAAATTCATCCATTCGTGGAGATTTCCCAAATAAATCCAAGATGTCTTCTTCAGTTTACTTATTTTTTATCTCCACGGTTAGGATGACAATCTGCAGATGATTGGTGAGTGGGATCTGCCCCCCGGTGGTGACACCATGGATTGCATGGACCGGACGTTCCTGTACAGATGTGCCCATTTGTGTTGCTTGGACTACAACTCCCAGAATCCTGTGCTACCCTAGGGGATTCTGGGAGTCATAGTCCATACAACAAAGCCAGGTCTCTCTCCTACACAGCTATTTTGCCTTGGTGGGAAGATACAAGAGGGCTGTATGCTGAAGAGGATGCTACCTGCTGATCACAGTGGGCAGATTAGGAATGAATAGTTTTTAAATTTCTCCTTTAAAAGCGTCTTGCGCCCGGTTTTTCTATCTCTACGGGCATTTTGGAGAAGAAGGCTTGCAGGACTATTTTCCTGGCGTTATTTTTACTGTTTATTTGGAACAGCAATATGCAAAGCAAAATATAATGACAGGAAACCATAATGAGGGTGTTCCGCTGTGCTGGAACAGAACTGACATAAGGACACTAATTTGAGGAGCAATTAAGAGGCTAGTGCTCTATTCTTTTTTTATTTTTAATCTTTGTTCAGAGGCAGGCAGTGTGATGGAGTTGAAGCAGTGTGGGCTATGTAGTCAGAGAAATGCAAGATGGAGTCAGACAGGTTCTGCGTGAAGATGATTTGAGAGACACTGGAATGTGTTTTTCTAAGTGCTATGTTTTCCTGAAGACCGGTACAGTGTGGTTCGAGATAAAGCTGAAGGTTGGACCAAGAGGCCCATGGAAGACTCAACATTCCGAGTTAATGGGAGAAGAGATAAAACATCTGGATCTTCATGGGAATGGAGGGTGGAAGAAGGGGTTACAGCCCCTTGAGGCTAATTGGTTAACAGCCATGAAGTGTCAAGAAGAAGGGAGGAGTTGGAGAACGTAGAAAATGGACGATGGGTTATGTGGGAGAGGTTTGATTCCATGATGATGGGAGAGAAAAAGAACTTGATGGTTTGAGCATGTGGCTTGAAGGAGAAAGAATGTGAGTAAAGAGTAAGAAGGAGGTGGGGCTAGCCCACCTTAGCAGTATTTTTTTACTTTAATGGGGATTAGTTATTTTATTTAATTGTAATAATCTTTGAATATGTTCCTTATGCTAAAGCTTGAGCAATATAAACTGATTCTATGAAACTCTAGTTTTCTAATAAAAATAATTATGAAAAAATTCTTACAAAGGACCGTCTTTTGAACATCACTTGCAAAGTACTGGGTAAAAGTAGAGTGTTATTTTAAGGTCAGACTTGTTCAAGGGGCTTACACTACGCCCTGCTGAGGTCTTGGAACTTGCCTTAGCGCAAATGTGGTAGGTCAGTGGCCTGTGGAACTCTCTGACTGAGCGCTAAGTGCTCCTTAGGGAGGCTTGGGCACCCCATGCGGTGTCATGGATGCTGCATTTGTGAGAGTACTGGCTCATAACCGAAGCCAAGTTAGTATTCCAACAAGAGTAGATGTCTTGAATCAACTGCCAAACGATGAATCAATACTTACATAAATCTCACTGGCTCTTCCTAATGGAATTGGGTTAAGGAACATAGGCACACGGTTGCAGATCCCTATTTGCCCCTCAGTCCCTCTCGGCCTGGCCTGCCTCGCAGGGTGGTTGTGAAAATAAAGAGAAGACCCATGAACATTGCCACCAGGTTTCTCAAAGAAGTTATAGGAGAGCCATGGAACAAGTCTTAATTTTTGAGCTGGGGTGCGTGTGTAAAGAGTGCTTAGAATTTTTTTTTCATTCTTAGCGATTTCCCACCTATCGCCATGCTGCAAAGATTTGCCCCATATTCCTATTCCTCCAAGAGCAAAAGGCTGCATGATTCTCAGCCCTAAACTGAACAGGGTGTTGTGGAACACAATATTTCCAAGGCCACCGCCACATGTTCTGTCTGTTCTAGGCCAATGACTCTCAACCTGGGGTTCCCAGATATTCGTGAACTTCAACTCCCAGAAACCCCGTCCAGGACAGCTCATGGTGAAGGCGTCTGGGAGTTTGAGTCCCAGAACATTCGGGGGAGCCAGGATGAGAACCACTGTTCTAGCCCGCAGCAAACAGGCAGCCATCATGCATAGAATAAATCGGCGCAAGCGATTCGGCCACACGCTAAGGTCAAAGAGAGGAACATCGGGTTCCGACGGGTTCACTTACGTTTCATGAGTCCCGAAAAAGAAGATGGGGTACTTATTCGCTGGAGGCTTCACAGCTCCCTCGGGGAGTTCATCGATCTGTAGGGCAAAAAACAGACGTCTGCCGGTCAACTCTGGCCCAGCCAGCAGGACAGTAAAATGGGAGAAGCCACACAAACACACACACACACCCCGAGTGCGGAGTTTAGCCCTCTTGGTGGTCTGAAAGTGGGTCGTTTTTAAAGCAGCATTTCCAGATAAGGTCAAAGTTGTAAGACAAGTCTCTTATCGACCCTCCCTGAAGAAGCCAAGAAGAAGAAACTCGCAGCACAAAAAGTCAGTAAGTGGGAAGGGTGTTCTTGTGGCTTCATAACTAGTCAAGTGGATTCTGACTTTTCAGGGTTTTTCCAGGGAGAGAGAGTACTCAGAGGTGCATTACCCTTCCCTTCCACTGGAGGCGCCCTGGGGCAGTGCAGCTGGTCAAGGCTACCCAGGCTGGCTCTTCTCCCAGTGGGGGAATTGAACTTCTGAACTGGCTTGCGTCACCAGGTGCAACCAGCTGCTGGCTGACTCCCAGCCCCACAGTAATTTCTGAAAGCCGCTGATTGCATTTCATCCCAATTTGGGGAGGAGTGGGGTGGGGACTGCCTTGTGGGGACTATTCCTTATGTAAGGGGTGCGGGTCTCTTTGGAAAGCGGAGGCTGTGTATGTTTGTGTTTGTGTGTGTGTGACCGAACAATATGCCTGGATCTGGCTCCTCTCTGCAGCTCTGCTTCCCCTGGAGCCACATGTGTGAATGGGTTCGGGTGCTGTGCAGCCGGGAGAGACAGGAAACTTAGGGGTGGGTGGGTGGAGGATGAGCCACTGGGGCTGCCCTTACAAAAAGGGGGGGGATTGGAGAGGACATCTACCAAGCAGCAAAGTATATTTCCCCCCACATTTTGGGATAAAATAATGGCATTTTCCACCCTAAAACCACTGAAATAAGTGTGGCTACGGAGTGGGTGACAAGCGGCTCGCCTTTTTTGCAAGGACAAGGGGTCCAGCAATGGAGGAAGGAAGGAAGCTCCTGGTTGGGGGCGTTTTGGGGGGAAAGGCATGCAGCCCCCCCTTCTCCTCCCCATACCGTGGGCCTGACCAGACAAAGCGAACCTCTCCCTTTGTATTTGTGTGGCCTGTGCACGGCAAGGAGAGCAACGTGATGGAGGGGTGGGGGTGCGGAGGGGGAGGGAGAGCCCCCCCCATAACCCTCAACTCCCCCACTC